TGAAATCAAGGTAAACAATCTATTACATTTGTGACAGGACTGGTTTACTCAATATTGAAGTGACTGTTTTTGGAAAGACCGTCTTTACAAATATTAACCAATATTAACCAAGTCATCCATTTATCTGCCTGTAGATGATGTTGGCTTGAATATATATATATATATATATATATATATATATCTCAAATATTTCTAATCCCAAGGATATATATTATATATACACACATACACGTGTGTGTGTGTGTGTGTGTGTGTGTGTGTGTGTGTAATCCTTCTGAACTGCTTCAGTAAAAGTATAGTTCTGTATGTACTCTGTCTGCAGAGCCATGAGATGTTCAAGATGAAGCCAGGGAGGGAAAGCCCCAGCAGAGCACATACAAACACGAGGCTACCTGGCTCTTTGCCATGATACATGACTTTCAATTATTTTAGTGCTTTTTCATGAAAGTTTCCCTCTACCAGTTCCTCCTCCCCTCACCAGATCGCTGCTGCCTTTCTACATTGGCAGACTTTTCCTATGTCACCATGCATTTTTTCCCTTCTAGATTTTCTTATAATAAGTTTTGAACTCCCTCTGGAAAAAAAAGCACTAAATCTAGAATACTATGTTGGTATTTTTACCCACACTGTGTAAGTTGAGAGGGAAAGAAGGTAGAGTGTCCTACACATTCTTGCTACTACTTTTCCTGAGGCATATATTTAGAAATAGAAATCTTTTTATTAACCCAAATACATTTGCCAAAATGAAAGGAGTAATGAAAGCACATTCTAGCCCATGAGAATTTTTTTTCCATGTAAAATGAGTCTAGATGCCTTAGACTGTTCATCTCTTACCTGAATTTTACTTTTCGATGAGGGAAAGTAGTCAAATAGTCAAATAGCCATTTCAATTGATGTTTCAAATAATTTTAACTTACTGAATTATTTTAATGTTGTGCTCTAAAGAGAACTAAGTAAAAAATTTTTAAACACCCTAAATCACTGTTTGGGGAAACTAGCACCAAACCCAAACCATCCTTGTAGGAATAATGGTAGATGAAACTTCCAAGGAGAGTAGCAGTCATCTTCACAAAATAGCCTTTCCACTCTCAGCATCTGATGGTGCCAGAGGAATGATCTATTTCACTCCAACACCTCTAAATTGCTAAAGGAAAAAGCAGAAGAGACCTAAACTGACATAGGTCTCCTTAGCCTTCACCCTTCACTCTTCCATTTCTCCCTGATGCACTCCGCAGGCACTGCTCATCATTTTCATCAAGATGCAAAGAGACACATCAGAGCCCTCAGAGATTCCAAAGTGCGGAACCCAAGGATGTCCTAAATGTGTTTAGACTTTACAAAATGGCTCCCCACCTTTGCTACTCCCCTGCCTTCACTTGGACTGCCGACTGTAGGTGCTAGCGACCGAAACTAAAAAAATTCAAATAGGAAGAAAGCAAACCACAATAGGAGACAGACCAACTTATTGTATGTACAACTATTGGCTGAAGTACAAGGCAAGCTGAATCCTGGGTTTTGATTCCAAGTATGAAAATAATTGAACGTGACTCTGAAAGATGAAATTGAAAGAAGGAGCAAAGAAGGAACTGATAACCTCTAGCTGACCAGATGATCCTGCAGAGATGAAATCACAACTATAAGCTTATTTTTCCTTGCCAGTGAATCACCCTTCAGGAATACTGACCTCTGTGTGGAAGGGGTGGATTGGTTAGAAGCAGAGAAGGAAGCAAGACAAGGCCCATATGAAGCCAGTTTTAAAAACCTGGCAAGGAGCTAAGCCCCATAATGGATCTGCGCAGGGTAGCTGAAAGCAGTTATCAAAGTGTTACGGTTGATTATCAAGGTTATTCCCAAACCATCCAGCAGAAAAGGCACAGGTAGATAGATCCCAGGAAAGGCGAGATGCTTTCCAATTTGAGGTTCTCTCTCCTTTCTCTGACTTTCAGAAATCATTTATTTCTGTTTTAATGAGTCTTATTTTTAACTTACTCTTAATGTTCCAATGACTAGAGCTGTGTCATTACTATAAACTCTATCTCAAACTCTCAAAGTCCTTTTAATGCAGCTCTTGGCAACCAAAGTTCTAACTTCTTGCCAAAAACTGCAGATTAAACATTTGCTATGGGAGCCTGCCATTAGCTGTTCCCTCTGTTATGGGCACATGTGGTTACATGTCACAAAGCACAAGAGATTCCATGTAAATAGATTTGCATTTCCAGGGGGCTTCAGGATATTAAGTGGGGCTGGTGACACCTTGCACCTCATCCCTTACAACCACTACCATCAAAATTGAGTTGGGTTAATGGAGTGGAAATGGACTTGTAAGGCAGCTGCTTTCCCGGGCTACCTTGCCGTTTCCTCTGAGTTGTGTCTTTATTGGCATACAAGTACTCTAGAGCTTGCATCATATGTCTTTCATTTAAAAGACACCGAATGTTTTTCAAGGAATTTACGGCTCTTAAAACGCGTATTTATAAACAAGCGGACAGAACTCTACGACATAACTTAGTTTGTAAGGAGGAATTCTTTATATGACTCCACTCAGCAAAAGGGAATTCTTGCTGCTGTGAATTTTTAGAAAAAAATTAAATGACTATTTCTCTTGTCATTTCCCGTGTCTATTAGAGAAGGTCAGAATTTCAGAATACCTGAACAACACCGATACAAAGGATGGTGGGAGAATGTTGAAAGCCACCAACCCATTCACGAATTGAGGGTCAAAGTCCACACCCGAAGTACCCACACAGCTTTGCTCAGGTATCAGCTGGAAAGTGTCTAAGCATCCCAGCTCAGCGAGAGCACTTTAGCGACCGCGTGTCCCTGGCCTTTTACGAGGTGAAAGAAGAAGACTGTCCACGAAGAACAGAGGTTATCTGTTTCCTTTTTCAAGGAGCCCCCGGGCTTTCTTGGGGGATAGTTTCCCCCCAATACACGCACATCCCCAATACTTCATCCTCCCCCACCCTGCGCCCTCTTGAGATGTGACAATTATCTATTGAGGTAAACTGTCCTGCTCCCGTCAATAATGCAGCACAACCAATTCAAAGGCAGGAACAACTTCATCTCTCCCGGGCATGAGTACGCAATCAAGACCATGCCAAGCAAGACTCCACCACGGGGAGCGAGCTGGCGCCCCTTTTCGGGAGAACGGTCTCGGGTGGCGCTTGGACCGCTAACCCGGCTGTTATGCGCTGGCCCTTCCGCTTGGTTCACTCATGGGAAACGCGTTTTCCTGTCGGGCCCCGCCTTTAGGGCAGTGCTAAGTTGCGGCTCTTGGGGGGTGTGTAGCGCCTCCGAAATTGTTTTTTTTTTTCTTCTTAGGCTGCGTCCAGGTTGGGTCTCAAAGAGAAATATCCTCCGTGAGGAGCGGATCAGCCCAAGATTCCGAAAAGCAAGGCAGATTCCCGAACCCAGTTGGATGCCTGCCTGTGTTAGGCTTGGCTTTTCCATCTTCCAAATCTGGGGTGCCAGGCGTGTCAGCGATCGCGGTGTAATTGCCAGGAGGCTGGAGCCCCCTTCCCCCCGCGCAGGGATTTCTCCCTTCTCGCTTTGTCAGCACACACACGCCTAGACCTCCCGGGCACACAACCTGTGGGGTTTTCATCAGATCCGTCGGTTAAGGGGCTCATTGCCAAAGACTGCCTATTTTTATTATTAGTATTTCTTTTATTTATTTTGCGCGCCCAAGGCAATGGACGCTTTTCGCTTATGAGCCAGCTTCTCCTTGGAAGCCGGAGGTCACCCGAAACCCTGAGACGCTTCCAATTCCAAAGGTCCTGTACCACCCGCCCTGCCCTGCCTGGCCTGCCCGTCCCCTGCGAGAGAGGTCCTGGCCCCCGCGCCCAGTGCTCCCCGACACTTCATCGCCACTCTCCCCAAGTACAACTATTTCCCCTTTACCAAGCATGCGGAAGGCCCGACCTCTCTCCTCTCTTAACCCGCCGGCGCAAGGAATGTTCCTCTGGGTCTTTTTTTTTGGGGGGGGCACTTGTCTCAACAGATTTATTTTATAAAAATAATATGAGTCTGATGATCACAATCGGGGCCCAAGGGGAGAGGTGGAGAGGCGATGGGGAAATCTCTGGTAAGTGGAATAATCGAATCGCTCCCGTGGCTCTCGTTCTGTTTATTCCCTTTCCCATCCATCCATCGCTACGCATTCTCGAGAGAAAGGAAAAGGCCCTGGGCCTCTTTAGGAGCTGACTTGGCGCGGACGCCCTAGCTCGTCCGGCTCAGAAGCCCCGAGCGGTCTCTTTGTAAAGCCTCGCCATTCTCCTTCACAATGCTTGGATCGGGCTCCTTTTGGGGCTTGAGATGAATGTGGATCTTCCCCGTAAACCATCTACAGATGAAATAAAAGCCTTTTACAGCAATACTTCCTTTCAAGTTCTTAAGATACCTCTGTAAATCTCTCTGGTGGTGGGTGGCTGGCTGGGGGGGGGG